ATATGTATATATGTATATACCTGTTTACCATTGTTTACATGCAATGAGTGTGTTAAAAAAATATGAGCTTTATTTTCTAGCTTTTCCTGCTTTTGCTAAAATATGCAACACTGCTATTTAATGCTTAACTAGTAGAGGAATCTATGAAGATATATGAACATTCTTTTTGCTATGTTTTCTCGACAACTGTTTCGTAATCTCGTTGAAAGCATTTACATATGACAATTAAATGAAAAGAATATGAACACACACATTATATTTAATACCTAACTTGTAATCTCGGTTCACCAAAAAGGGGCTGTCCATACACACACACACACACATACACACACACACACACACACACACACACACACACACACACACACACACACACATATATATATATATATATATATATATATATATATATATATATATATATACATATATATATACATATATATACATATATATATATATATATATATATATATATATATATATATATATATATATATATATATATATATATATATAATATATGAGTACATTGTACAAATTGCATATGTATATTGCGTATTGAATATTGAGCACAAATTCATAAAATCTTTACGTTTTGAAATTTCAGTATGGATTCCTCTCGTTTTTTTGGCTTAAGTCTCTAAGTCTAGCCTTATCAAGAAGGTTATGACCAGAGCTACCAGTTTCAAAGGTCTACAATGTTCAGACAGATTTGAATTGATATGAATTATTGTCATTTTATCATAGATTATCAGTGAGTTATATTTTTAATAGTGTTTGGTCAACGCTTACCATGAATTACCATCGCTTACCAGGAGACACCCCTGTAGAAGGGCCAGAAGACGCTCCAGAAGATACTCCAGGAGATGGACCAGAGGATGGCCCAGGGGATGGCCCAGGGGATGGACCAGAAGATACTCCAGGAGATGGACCAGAGGATGGCCCAGAGGATGGCCCAGGGGATGGCCCAGAGGATGGACCAGAGGATGGCCCAGAGGATGGCCCAGGGGATGGCCCAGAGGATGGACCAGAGGATGGCCCAGGGGATGGTCCAGGGGTTGGACCAGAGGATGGCCCAGGGGATGGTCCAGAGGATGGCCCAGGGGATGGTCCAGAGGATGGTCCTGAGGATGGCCCAGGGGATGGCCCAGGGGATGGCCCAGAGGATGGCCCAGGGGATGGTCCAGAGGATGGCCCAGGGGATGGACCAGAGGATGGCCCAGGGGATGGCCCAGGGGACGGTCCAGAGGATGGCCCAGGGGATGGCCCAGGGGACGGTCCAGAGGATGGCCCAGGGGATGGCCCAGGGGATGGCCCAGAGGACGGACCAGAGGATGGACCAGAGGATGGACCAGAGGATGGCCCAGAGGATGGTCCAGAGGATGGACCAGGGGATGGCCCAGGGGATGGTCCAGAGGATGGCCCAGAGGATGGTCCAGAGGATGGCCCAGAGGATGGCCCAGGGGATGGCCCAGGGGATGGACCAGAGGATGGCCCAGAGGATGGCCCAGGGGATGGTCCAGAGGATGGCCCAGGGGATGGTCCTGAGGATGGCCCAGGGGATGGTCCTGAGGATGGCCCAGAGGATGGCCCAGGGGATGGTCCTGAGGATGGCCCAGAGGATGGTCCTGAGGATGGCCCAGGGGATGGCCCAGGGGATGGACCAGAGGATGGCCCAGGGGATGGCCCAGAGGATGGTCCTGAGGATGGCCCAGGGGATGGCCCAGAGGATGGCCCAGGGGATGGTCCTGAGGATGGCCCAGAGGATGGTCCTGAGGATGGCCCAGGGGATGGCCCAGGGGATGGACCAGAGGATGGCCCAGGGGATGGCCCAGGGGATGGTCCAGAGGATGGCCCAGGGGATGGCCCAGAGGATGGTCCTGAGGATGGCCCAGGGGACGGTCCAGAGGATGGACCAGAGGATGGACCAGAGGATGGCCCAGGGGACGGTCCAGAGGATGGTCCAGAGGATGGCCCTGAGGATGGCCCAGGGGACGGTCCAGAGGATGGACCAGAGGATGGACCAGAGGATGGCCCAGAGGATGGTCCTGAGGATGGCCCAGGGGATGGACCAGAGGATGGCCCAGAGGATGGCCCAGAGGATGGCCCAGAGGATGGTCCTGAGGATGGCCCAGAGGATGGCCCAGAGGATGGCCCAGAGGATGGCCCAGAGGATGGTCCTGAGGATGGCCCAGGGGATGGTCCAGAAGACCCCCCCCCTGAAGAGGAAGGTGAGTGCAAATAGGCAGTGTCGCTTGAAGTTCGGCCGTTTTGTTTACAGCTGCCTAATCCTGCTCCAGTTTTAAGTAAACCAGCTGCAAGAACTATTTAAAAGAAACTAAACACGACAATTAAAAGGATGTTTGTCACCTTGTCATCGCTTTTAAATGTATTTCCCTAAACCGTTCTTTTACGGATATAAGTATGGGCATTCATTCCCATTAATCTAATATCACTAAATCACCCACGGTCACGAAACAGACTTAAGTGAAGACGG